ATCTATAGCTAACAAAATCATTATCACATTCTCATGCTCATATAATGTAACAAGCATTAACATAACATAATGTAACATGCTTATTTCAATGTAACACTAACAAAGGGACAACATCCTGGATTTTGTTGAAATTTTAGTACGTTTTAGTACATCCTTTCCCCTAATGCATGGGTAACTTAACTGATGTGAATGAATGGCAGTTTACAAGAAGTCATTGTTTAAACTCCTCCATGTGCATTATATATTGAGTTCCATAAAAGAATCATAATGAGTAATCATGGATAAGTGAGTAAAGCACCAAGTTGAAAAGATCAATGTTGTGGATTTGTAAAAGGTTCTTTTTTCACAGTAGTTTCTGAAGTGTGCAACCCAGTGAATTATTAAAAAATATATTTGGTCCAAAAATACTAATTTACAATACACTTGGTTGTTCAAAAAACTCACTTACCATAAGTCCAGGTGCATCATGAAAACACAACTGAAAGACAGCATTAGATATCATGTTCTAGCGATTCCAGTAGACTTCTTGTATTTTGGGATAAAAATGCTATTTTAAGGAATGGAAAACTTTGATGACAACAATGGAGGCTACATTGAACATTTGTAATGTTGTTCAAGTGACTTATATTGCTACAGCACTACTTATCGGCAATTTTTGTACTAATTTTTTTAATGATGAGCACATCATTTGAAGTACTTCCTGTTTGAATTTCATTCCATTTGGAGTCTTAGAATGCACTGCAGAATCCTCTAAGGAACTTAATTTTTAGCACCCCTGTATTTATTCTACTGTTTTGTACTTTGCATCTAAATAAAATTTTTCTCTTTTTTATATACCTCCATAACAAATTATTTATTTTTTGGTCCTTTCAAATTCAAGATTTGGAGGTTTTGTTAGAATACAACAATTGAAGTTATTTATGAATATTATGTCAATGTGTACATCATTTTGTATCATGACAATTTTTTAACTGTTGCATAATATTTGTAAAAGGTTGGCGACACTGTTGACAACCTGTCAGAAACCATTAGTCAGTGACTGGATTTTTACTCTCTACTTTTTCAGAACAGATTTCCTTTAGACAGGTTGTGTAATTTTTGTTCTTTGTTCACAAAACTGGTTTTATGAGTTTAAGTTTAACCAGTTTAACCAGTTTATCACCTCTGACAAGCTTATCAAGTCTAACAGGTTATGAACTGAGTTATGACAACAATTAATTAAACATAAGGAGGAAAGGTAAATTTAAGAAATAAACTGGATATAAATTAAGGAAAAAGAACATTCAGTGATAACAAAAGATCATAACAATGGCAGATAAAAACTAAGTTTCCAACACAAACCAAAACAACAGTAATTACCACACATGGAAGTACAAGATACATACACACAAGAAAGATTTTGGCTGTACACAAGGCCGGCAGAAAAGAGGGTAAGGGAAAGGAGAGGAGAAGGAGGGAGAGAAGATAGACCTGAGATAGATAGTAGAGAAAGATAGGATCCCTCTGAATGGCATATATATGGCTACAATAACCTCTATGTTTGATGTTGGCTTGCAGTTTTTATGCTGCAAGGTCGTATTCCCCCGAAGGGTCTAAAAGAAAACCTGAATGTAGAAACACCAATGATTCAGTGCTGCCATGTATAGCTAAGTGTAGAAGTTAGTACCAAGTGGCTGTTAGTAGGAAGACTTATAACTACTTAATGCTTATGAAACTGAATATGAGTGTGAATCTTAACACTACTTAACAGCTAAACAGACAGTGCAAAAAAACAAATGAACATGACAAACTAGACAAGACAAACATGCAAGACCCCAAATTTTTTAATTTTTTTAAAATTTTATTTTATTTATTTATTTTTTTTTTTAAACATTAACTTATTGACTAACTAAACTAACCTATCATAACCTAGGATGAACCTAACCAGAAATCAAGCTAGAGTCCCTAATCTAACTTACAAATAGGACTAACTTAAACTAACCAAATTTAGACTGAAAATAAGAATTAAAATACAAAGTTGAAAGCAACTATATAACGACAGTTGAAAGAAAGCAAGGGAAAGTTAACTGCCATCCGTGCCCCCAGAGTGAGTGCTCCAAAGAGTCCCACTAAGGGATATGAATGTGAGTAGATGATGGAACATTGTACATGTTTGAATGAGTTGGTGTGGATTTCAAGGTCAGTTGTACCCTTCAAGAATAGCAGCTCTCATTAAACTGTCCCTAATGTGATTGTATGTACTTATTGCAGCAAAAAACTAAGTGAAGTGGTGTTTGGTCCTCCTGAATACCACAATTGCATTGTAGATTGTCTCCAAGATTAAATCTATGCAATTAAAGTTGCCATGCCCTGTAAGTAGCTGAGTGAGTGTGTAACTACGGTAAAAGTGACGAAGATTTGCAGTAGTGTCAACCTTGGGGATGAAAGTGTAGGTGAGTGTACCAGTGGTGTCATGGTCCTAGCTGTCTTGCCAGAGAATGAAGATTTGCTTCTTGATGTGATTACTGATGTACGAGGTAGAAATGTAACTGAAAGTACTAGTGACTGAAGACTTTGCAGCTTGTTTGCAAGATGGTCAGTGGTCTTGTTGCTGAGAACCCCGCATGACCTGGGACCCATGGAAATCTATTCTAATGTTGTTGTTTAAGTGTCTGAGAATGTGATGTATGACATGGATGAGTTTTAAGCGGCTATCAGACTTCGCTATCCTGTGTAAAGCTACCCTACTGTCAGAATAAATGTGATAGTGTAAGTATTATCTTTTGTCCTTCCTACACCTAATGTGAATTAAGCTCATAAAAATAGCTAAACTTTCTGCCTGTGCTATTAGCAGTGTGTACGTGTGTACCTAGATGGAAGCAAGTGTTGTGGAGCTCATGGCCTAAGTTGGAGAAACTACAAAAGAGGCACCCACATTGTCACCATCTTGGAACTGTCAGCATAAATCCTAAACATGGGATGATCACCTGGATTTTTGAAGTAAACATCAGGGGCAAGCTGGTGGGAGGGGTGGTAATCTTAAGTCAGGAGGGTATTTTTGTTGATGCTGAATTTTTTGATATCAATCAAAGTCAAACTGGGGGGAATCTTACCTACTCTAATCATTTTGTTGACATCTGACAAAATACAGCTCACAGATAGAAATATAGATAGAACTACTGTTGATAAAGGAAGAATTATGGGACATTATACAGGAAGAAATACCTTTAGGTCTAGATTAATCTTGATTGACAAAGGACAGAAAGGCATGTGCCATGATAGACCTGCTGATGGAAGACAGTCAACTATTATTAGTAAGAAATGGCTAAAGGCACTTGGAAAGCCATAAGGAAAACATCATGTTAAGTCTACCTTATCAAATGAAGTTTAAATTGCATATTTTATTTTAATAGATAAAGTTAGAAGAAAACAGTGCATGAGGATATACTTGGCCAAGATGGAGGAATTAACTGATATTCTTATAGCATTGGGAGAAACTCTAGCTGAAAAACTGAAGTATTATTATTGCTTTGTAGCTTGGCAGACAGCTACAATAAATAATAACAGCACTAGAGACTTGTTTGGGAGATTTAATTCAGAAGTCATAATGTAATAAATTACTTGAAGCATATTCATTGGATATAGTTTGCAAATTATTAAAAAATATATTTGACTTGAAACAAGAAGCAAATGAATGGAATAACAAATTTAATGAAACATTGCTAATATCCCTCTTTATGAATAATAGGATCACTTACAAGAGATCTCTCCTACTGTTTGTCCTATTGTTTTTCTATTTTCTAGAATGATAAGGACCTTTTGGAGAGAAATTGCATTCTGCGGATCTGTACTATCCCTGTACACGATCATAGGGTGAACCATCCATGTGAATATATTGAAGCTACTGCTGTGGTCTAAAAATGAAGATCAAGGAGCATAAATAAATAATTTAGAAGTCTTTCCACTATTGCATTAACTTCTTAAGCTGTTGATAAAAATGTGCAAGTTAAATTTGAAGATGCCCTGTTACTATAACCTGAAATATCTTGAAAGACTAGAAATATTCGAAGTGTTTAAAGAAGGATGGCAATTAATTAAGGAAATGGACTCATTAGTAACTGCATGGAGGGCCTGCTTTGGCTTACAATAGATTTTGAATTAAGTTTTGATTTTATATTTTGTATAAACCAGGTATTTTTTAGAATTGTTATCCAGTTTGAAGAACCTTGTTAAATGCAACATTGAGCATGCACATATTTTCATGACATTCAAAATTTTTAAATTTTTGTTCTAAAAATAACAAAAATTTTTAAAACATGCATTCTATTAATTCTAAACCTGATGACCATTAAAAACGGAAGAAAACATTTGTTTTTTGTATGATAAAATTTATTTCATGCTGGTTGTCTATAATTACATATTTTATAACTAAAGATGTTATTACTTGCTTAATTTGTTTAATTTTTATTTATGCTGTAGAATGTAAACAATGTAAAAATTAATTTATTTTATATTAATTAAAGTAACATTTGTATACAATTTAAATTATTACTAAGTAATTTTCAAGTTAGAAGACAACATTAAAAGAGTGTCGGTTGGTAGAAACCGACGCTCTAACAGACCACAGTGTACCTGAAGAAAGCCTATTAAGAAGGCTGAAAATGTTCATACTCATGTATAAACGGTAGAAACAAAGTGAGAAAGGTTTTGTCTGGGTCATCTTAAAATAGTTCTACCTCCAAATGCATACAACATTAAAACATTAACATTACATTCTTCATGTAATGTTAATGTTTTCTAAACAGTAACTGGACAAAAAAAAGTGTTTTGGCATCCTGTTCTGTACATTCAATGATAGTTAAAAGTTATGCAACATTAAAAATATATACTCACATTACATTATAAAACTAAGTTATTTATCTTATTTCTATTAAAATTTGAAAATATAAGATTCAAGAATAAAATTATTCTACTTATTATTACTGAGAATTCATTAAAAATATTTCAATTAGAAAACTTACCATAATTGTTCTTGCTGGTAAATGATGTCTTGTAAAGAAGTCATCATCTTTAATACCATTAAAGTTTCCACAAAGTCCACAAACTTTTTTTCTGTATTTCTGAGGAACCTGAATTTCAATAGTTTGGGATGATTTCCATAATAATCTGATTCCATGTGTAGTAGTTATTATTACATGGTTTTCATTGTTCAGAATTATGTCTAAAAATGTATCAAAATATGGTAATTCAATAGATTCTCCATTGATAAGAATTTTTCCAGATGGGAAAATCTGAACTTCTGTACAATGTACATAAGCATATATAATTTTCTCTTTGTTTTCAAAACTTAAATCTTCATATCTGATACTAAATTCTCCATCAACACAATCATCCACAATAGTATAACGGCAACTTCCAGAAAAATTATAAATAAAATTATCAAATGTCATAAATTGGTAATTCTGTATTTTACATGATGATTCTGAAAATAAAAAATTATTTTATATTGTGTGTTTATACATATATAAGATATATAAAATAATTATTAATGAAAAGTGTAATTGTAATATTGAATATAATTCAGTATAGTCATCAATTATAGGGATAATGATACTTTGTCAATGGCATGGAGAGTTCTATATGAAATCCAGTAAAATAATAGTGGCTTTTGATATATTATTTTACAATGTCTGATCAAACAGGATTTAAAAAAAATTTTTGAATTTAAACATTACATTTGATAGCATGTGCCATGTTCAAATATATTTGTAAAAATGAAGATGGTTGTCACATACACTGAACCAAATTTACGGTGTGGTACGATAAACGACGAAAAATAACGAAAAACAAACGTTTTCGAACCCCTTCTGGGCTCTTCATCAGGTTCCTACAGTTTTAGCTCGTAAATGCGTTATTTTTCGTCGTTTATTGTACCACACCGTAAATTTGGTTCAGTGTATGTGATTATTATTGTGGTGTGGTGAGTAGTTTGTTTTGAAGATGGTTGTTTAAGACAACCAAAAACATTCGATTTTTTTTATTTTCACATTAAAGTTTAAGTTTTTAAAGTGCTGGAATTGTAGTATTTTGTGTGTTTAAAAAGACATTCAGTTATGTAAGGTAGTAAATTTATATAATTCAGTTTCTACATTGGTGTATTTCACAATCTTAAAAAATATAGCATTACATAAACATTTATTGTTAATTAAATATATGCAATCACCTTGTAGTAAAATATTGTCATAAGTATTCTTTACATACAGAAAGATTTTATGCATATACCTTATAGTACAAAAAAATGTATTCTGGGTATTGCAATATAGAAAAATTTCATGGGAATTAAATCAGTATTTTCCAAATAAAAAAAAATACTTTTAAAAGGTTAATTTTTCAAAAAAAAAAAAAAATATATATTTCCTCAAAAAATTGATGAAACTTCATGGGTTAATTCCACAGAAATAACCTCCATTTTATTGCCTGGACCACATTTAATCAGAGACAAAAGCTTATCTTCGTATTCTTTATTTACTTATTTACTATGCAATTCGGGTGCAATATTTTTGTGTAACTTGCACCTCTCTTCAGGTTTTACATTTATATAAATTGGTAACTTTGATTATTACATTTGTTATTACGGTAAATTACAACAATTTTGGATATATTTGTACAATAGTTAATTAACCTGTTTTATGTTTAGACATACATCTGCCCAGTGTTGATGTCGTGTCCCCTAAGGCATTTTTAGACCGTTTTCCTCTCTTTTTGTTTTCTTTCCCTTTAGCTCCTCCCATTTCCTCCCACACGATGTCAACCTCCATTCCATCACTTAGGTTTACGGTTTTGTTTTTATTAACTATTTCGAAGTGCTCTTTGAATTTTTGTAAATAACTGTCTTTTTCTCTATGGATTATTTTTACACTTTTTTTGTTGATTGTGCATCCAAATTCCCTACAGTGATTTGTCCATGGTGACTGGTTATAATTAAGTCTAATTGCTGCTTTATGTTCTTTTATTCTGGTAAACAGGAAGGCAACTTGTTACCAGAATATGAGTCACCTTTCACTCCACTAGGAGTGAAAGATGAGTCAAGGAGATAGCCTTTTGTAAACTTCTGCTTCACCTAGTCCATATATAGCCTTCACCACAAATTATGATCATATAATTAACTGGTGAAAATTCAAGCCATCTCATACAAACGACCACTTGTAAACAAAAAACTGAAGAAAAAATAATTTCTCTGGTTCCTTTGGTGTTCCAGCTACAGCTCCACAACTACTCTAATGCAAAGTCTTAGACAGTATTTGTCACTTTCTAGAATATGGCCATAAGTACATTCTGCCAGCGAATACTTCCGTAGCCCAATCAATTTTTTTCTATCATGGCAACAGCAAAAAGTTGTCAACACTTTCAATCCAGTTTCACTTTGATGCAGTAATGTTTGCTAATACACTTTTACTACAAAAATCCTATACAATTCAACAGGTGCTTGACATTCTGGAAGCTCTCCTAATAATAACTGAGCATAATTTTTCCAGTTCAATGGTCAATATTTCTTGCTGGATAACTTGCTTTTGCAAGAAATATTGGGCTTGCCTCTTTCAGCAATTTTAGCCAAGTTAATTATGAGAATCATTGAATTTAAAGTTTTCTCTTCACCACTTGCAATATATTATCCCATTTTATATCCTAGATATGTTGATGATATCTTATTAATAGCTTTGGAAGGTACTTTTGAAGAATTTTCAACTTTTGTCAAATTCTATCAGATGTTTACCCCTCCATCTCATTCTCTGTTGAAAAAGAAGACAGAAAAATCACATTTTTAGATCTAGTCTTACATAAACCCCCACTCATCTAGCTTGCACTGTATAGTACATCACAAATTCAACTCAGCTCATATTATACAGCTTCTTTCTTCCAACCTCCTGTATACGTAAATTTAACTATATCTGTTCTCATTTGCAGGGCATACTTGTACTCTTCCTCTCCAATTTTTATACAAAATGAACTGCAAAGCAAATAATAGCTACCACCATATGCAATCACAGCTAGCACTAGAGTTTATGCTGCCAGGGATATGACAAGCATTTGAATTCCCTTATCCCCTACATAAAATGAAAAAATTTTGTTTTGAAATGCCATACCAATTAGTAGTGCCATACCTTGCACTGTCAATCAATATTCAACTCATGCAGTGTAATATAAATAAAAATTAAAAAATATTAAAAATATAATATGCCTGAAAATTTTGTATAAATTTATGAAAATTTTCTGCCCTGGACAAATGCCTAATTTGCCCATACAGTAATGTTGACCATGTATGCAATGCTGGGTATACAATTTTCAAATTTGAATTTATCAACAACCTTGTCTGCAGTGTTCTATCTTCCTGCCCACCACCCTTCATTCATATGACAAGAACAAGAAGCTAATATTTGCAAAACTGCCTATCTCATACTTAGGGTCTGTTACTTTATTTATAGTTCAAGCTTAAAAAAGACACGAGATCACACATACCATCAAACCACAGCTATCACTCTGCAGAATTCTATGTAATGATAGGGATTTTCTTACCCTTTTGGAGAAGTCTGGAGTTTATATAGTTCCATTATAATAGGACTATATAAACTCCAGACTTTTCCAGAAGGCTGTTTGTAAAGATCTTTTACATAGGTGTCACAACTAAAAAAGTTATTAAACCCTTTAAATGAACACCTGGATGATGTTAAAAGTAACACAGCTTCCACTGATCTTACAAAAAATGTATTAGAAAATAATTTTACTCTACTATGGGCCCATACTTCCATTCTCAAGCAATGTTTAGATTGCAGAATCTTGTTCATCTGGGAGTTGTTATACATATCTTTATTAAAACCCTGCAACTCTCTCACTCTCAAAATTCCTGATATATGGATAACAGTTTATAAAAACTTAAAACTTTAATTTTTATCTAGATTTATTTCTGTTTTAATTTTATTTATACTTTATTTTACTTAGCCTTATCTTAGCTATCTATTTCTGTATTTGTTTTAAATTTAAATCAAAACTTTATTGCACACATGAAAACTAACATGTTTAGGTTGAAAACATTCTTGTGTTTGGATAATGTAAATGGGTTTTAAAATCAATATTACAAATTATATATTCTTTTTTTCACCTGAGGAAGGCATTTTGAAATGTCAAAAGTACTTGCATGTATTTAATTCATCAAACAAATAAATTTAATGCCAAAAGACAGTACAATTTCTTACATACATTTTTCTCAAATTTGAATATTAATCAGATTTCAAAAAAAAAAAAAAAAAAAAAACAAATATGACTTAATAACT